CAAAAAAAAAAAAAAAAAAAAAATTTCACGGGCCGTATGTGTTACTGGCGGAGACGGGAAGGTTGAATTTAAAGTTTCGGAGTCGCACATGGGCAGATGACATATCCAAAAAATTTCAACTCCCTAGCTCCCGTGGTCCCTGAGATAATAATTTTCCCCGCCAAAACTTTTACGAGGCCGTACGTGTTACCCGCCAGCACAAGAAGGCTGAATTTAAGTATGCGTGTCACACGTTGGTGGGGGGCATTCTACTAAAATTTCAGCCGTCTAGCTCTCGTTGTCCCCGAGTTGAAAGTGCGGAACAAAGTCTCGGTAAAACACAGACAACCCCGTGACAATATGCGTTTTGTGCTGCTGTTACACAGCGCAAGACGCAAAAAAGAATCCCAAATGCAAGTTTTTCTTAGCAGCATTTTGCCGAGCTATTAGTTTTAGCTGGAAAACCGAGAGAACTAAGCTTACGAATATAAAATTTCATTGAAAGAGCAAAAAATTTTTTAGCAATGCAAAACGTTTGTAAAATGGTGTAGAAATCAGCAAGGTCAGTATACTGTCTTCTCAAAAACTGAAGGAACACTTATACACTAAAGCTGAAAACTGAGCACCAAAAAAGTTTCCACATTTGACAGCTGGGAGCAAATAAGATGGTTACCTTGTTTCAAGGCGCTAATTTAGATTAGGGATTGCGCTTTTGGATGAAACTGTGACTGGTTTTTAATGTATTTTTTGCTTGGCACATGGGTTGTTTATAAAAGCGCTTGTAGATAGCACAGTAATTCCTTAAATTGACTGCTGAAGCTATAGCTGTATCTAGAATTGTTTAAGTGCTGTAATGAATTTATAGATTTGTCCGAACCGTCGCAGGATTCAGCTTTTTGTCGACGACAAGAAGAGGCAAGCGAGCACCCAAGAAGACTGTTGGGAATGCAGCAACAACAAGATCGACAGCAAGCGAACAGGAAAAACGGCAAAAAGAAGTGGTTTGCTGCTCTGGAAGAAGAATACCGCGTATGTTAATAAATTTCATTTTTTTAGAACAGTGCCTTTAGCGAGTGGTTCAAAGCATGAGAGTCTGACAGTGGTAACATGAAGAACCATGCACTGACAGGTGGAGCAATCTCGCTGCAGCTGTCGGAAGAGAATAATCTTTCCTAACAGAATACCGTAAGGCGGGTCAGTAGCAGTGACGTTTAGCCAGCACTCTTGCTCGTTTGGTTCGATCACTTTCTTTGATCAGCTGTCTTTTCACACTCGCGCACTTCCACCACTGAAGCAGCTAACTTCTTTATCCTTGCCTTGGGCCTATTTCCTCCAATGATTTCCGTATAAGCATTCGAACAAGACCTTCCACCGATTTGGCGATGCTTCCAGTTAGGCACTATTCAGTGTCTTGTTCATTTGTTATCTAGCACTGACTTGCCATGTAACCAGCCCAACTCTCATTGTACAGTGCTTTTATTACATTGCTCAAGTTTACGTGTTATGCGTTTTTTGCAGCTATGCAATGCAGAAAACGCATATTGAAGAGAGGTTGTCTGTATGTGTGTTCGTCTGTACCGATTTTTCATCTCGAGGCCGGTAAAAGCTACAGGGCTGAAACTTTGGGGACATAATCTGCATGCACGTACGGGCTCCCATCCCCAAAATGGGCGATCCTACCCGCGTAAGAGCCCGCCAAAATTTTTTCAAGGTAAGTTGACAACTCGCGAGCCAGGAAAGCTAGAAAGCTGAAGTTTTAAGGGAATGTTCCCCGTCCAGATAGGCACTGATGAGCTCAAACCTAATCCTCGGGTAAGCGTGGTACTTGCGTACGGACCCGCCAAAATTTTTCCCGGGCAAGTTCATAACCCGCGAACCAGAAAAGCTAGAGGGCTGAAATTTTACGGGAATGTTCCCCGTCCAAGTAGGTACTAATGAGCTCTAACCCAACCCACGAGTAAACGTGGTACCCGCGTGCGGGCCCGCCAAAATTTTTCCCGGGCAAGTTCATAACTCGGGGATCTGAGGTGCTAGAAGACTGTGACATTAAGAGGGTGTTTCTCGTCCACATTAGTCCCAACGAGATCAAACCCAGCTCACGGCTATGCGTGGTACCTACGCACAGGTTCACCAAAGTTTTTCTCGGGTAAGCTCATAACTAGAGAACCTGCAAAGCTAAAAAACTGTAGTTTTAGGAGAATATCTCCTGTCCAAGTAAATCTTAACGAGCTCAAACCCAGACATCGGGTATACGTGGTACCCGAGTGCGGGCTCGTGAAAAATTTTTTCCAATAAATTGCTGACTCAGGAGTCAAGAAAGTTAGAG